ATAGCGTTGAAGGGACAAAAAGGCATCCACTGAGGTAGGTGAAAAGGAGATGTAGAGCTGAGTGTCATCAGCACACTGATGACACGAAGCCCCACACCCCCTGATGACCCCACCCAGCGGGAAAGCTGCATAGTCCCTGAGAACTACCAGGAGGGATTGGTAAACCACTTATCTTAGAATCATAGAAAAGTGAAGTTGGAAGGCCATCAAGTCCAACTCCCTGCTCAATGCAGGAATACAATCAAAGCATATCTGTCAGGTGATTATCTTAAGTTTTTCTTGAATTCCTCCAATGTTGGAGCACTCACCAACTCCTGAGGTAACTGGTTCTACTGCCGTACGGCTCTAACAGGAACTTTTTCCTGATATTCAACCAAAATCTGGCTTCCATTAACTTGAGCCCATTGTTGCATGTCCTGCATTTGCGATGATCGAGAACAGGTCCTACCCCTGCTCTGTATTACAGACTTTCAAATATTTGAAAAGTGCTATCATATCACCCCTCAGTCTTCTTTTCTCAAGGCTATACATGCCCAGTTCTTTCAGCCTTTCCTCATAAGGCTTTGTTTCCAGCCCCCTGATCATCCCCGTCGGCCTCCTCTGAACTTCTTCCAATTTGTTAGCATCCCTCTTGAAATGTGGTGTCCAGAACAGGACACAATACTCAAGGTGAGGCCTAACCAGTGCTAAATACAGGGGGACTAGCACCTTGCAGGATTTGGAAACTATATTTCTATTGATGCAGCCTAAAATAGCAATAGTGTTTTTTTGTAGCCACATCACACTATTGGCTCATATTTAGCTTATAATCTACAATAATTCCAAGATCCTTCTCACTCGTAGTTTTACTGAGCCAGGTATCCCTCATCTTCTAACTGTGCAATTGGTTTCTTTTTCCAAGGTGCAGTACTTTCCACTTATCCCTGGTGAATTTCATTCGGTTGTTTTGGCCCAGTGCTCAAGTCTATCAAGGTCATTTTGAATTTTGTTAGGGTATTAGCTATTCCGCTGAATTTGGTATCATCTGGAAATTTGACAAGCATTCTCCCTGCACTCCGTCATCCAAGTCATTAATAAAAATATTGAAGAGCATCAGGCCCAGGATTGAGCCTTGAGGTACCCCATGTGTTACCTCCACCCAATTAGAGAAGGACCCGTTAATAATCACCCTCTGAGTACAATTTTGTAGGTGAATATTTGATACCTGGAAAACCTTGGGAAGGGGTGTTGTAAATTGCAATTGATGATGGCACACCACCACCATTATTACTGTTATTAAATTAGTATAAAGGAATAAAATAGCTGTTACATATGATTTGTTAAAATGCATAGTGGTTGGCTGGCCTAAAAATTGTGAAAAATGATTTTTCTTTTTCATTTACTGGAAGGACCGTGTGTTTTTTCTCTTGTTTGTCTTAGCCATTTGTTGGGTGTCTTCTTATTGCCTTGTACTGCCAACTAAGCTTAGTGATATACAGTGGTGCCCTGCTTAACGATTAAACCGCTTGATGATGAATCTGCTTCATGATGATGTTTCAATGGGCAAAATCCGCTTTACGACGATCGGTTCCCTGCTTCGGGAACCGATTCTTCACATTACGATGATCAAAACAGCTGATTATTGGGTTTTTAAAATGGCCCCCGACTGTTCAAAATGACTCCCCACTGTGTTCACGACGGATTTTTCGCTGCACAAGCATCAGAAAATGGCCGCCCTATGGAGGATCTTTGCTGGACGCTGAGGTATTTCACCCATTGGAACGCATTGAACCGGTTTTCAATGCATTTCAATGGGCTTTTTTATTTCACTTGACGAGGATTTCGCTCTACAGCAATTTAGCTGGAATGGATTATCCTCATCAAGTGAGGCACCACTGTATACAAGTAGGCCTCACCTTGTCTTGGAGTGGGCAAACAATATCCTGCAGCTGTTCTTAGCTTTGTATGCAATAGATACTGTACTTTTAGTTGCTTCCAAGGTTCTATAAAGCCCAATACACTAACAGATAGAGCTGTTACTCACTTCCAGCAGTTGCAAATACTCAAGTTTGCTAATGATTAGAACATCAGCGGTCTGCATATGTGTTTGTCAGTGGTATGCTTGTGCTTTATTTTGATAGCCGCCACTTTTTTCATTTAGTTTTTTTAAAAAGGTATATAAGCTTCCTGTTGTAAACTTCCTATAGCCTTCCTGTGGTGTATCTAGCAAGAACTGTTATCACTCTATAATGTTTTGATTCTTTTTCATTTCTAGTAATTGAATGTGTTGGCTTATATTACATTTAGTAATAATAATTATGAGCTATCAAGGCAATTCCAGCTTATAGCAACCTTTTCAGGGTTTTCTAATATTGAATACTCAGAAGTGGTTTATTCTTCAGTTCTTGTAGGGATGCTCTGCAAGTGTGTAGCTAGCCCAAGGCTACATAGGGTGACTCTTCTTCTGGGATGCACAGAATACCTTGAGTTTCTTCCTTAAGGTGAATTTAATTACTCATGTTATGGTACTTTGCAACTTTTTGATATCTTCCACCAGATAAGTACTGTGATTTGATGGAGACAGACTTTGAAGAGTGGTATTGATTATTATGGAGACAGACTATTTTAATCAATCTATTTAAGCTGTCATAGTGATTCAGAGTAATTATATATTTACTCTCTTTGTGAGAGAAGGCTAATGTTCTAAAGTGGTAGAAAAATGGACCTGCTCTAATGATGCTGCGTCTTCATCAAATGACCAAATGCAGTTTGTGTATGCTGGATGAACATAACAACAGCTAACCATGTAGATTAGTGTAGGGTCTCTCCATTCTTCTGCTGCAATCTACGACAGTACTTCTTTGTGTGATTATACCAAAGTACAGTAGATGGCTAGCTGCTTTCTGACCTTGTTGATGCTGCAAATAGTCCTAATAGCAATCAATTGCAAGTATTTCTTCAACTAGGTTCCTGTTAGAAGTTAGTAAGTGTTTATGTACAGTGGTGCCTCACAAGACGAATGCCTCGCGGGACGAAAAACCCGCAAGACGATTGGTTTTGCGATTGCTATGATGCCTCGCAAGACAGCTTCTTCTATGGCCGTGCTTCGCTAGACGGTCCCCCCCCGAGACCGATGCCTCACAAGATGAAAAAAATCATTCATCTTGCGAGGTTCTATGGGAAACCACTTTTCGCAAGACAATTTTTTCACAAGACAGCGCTTCTTGCAGAACAGATTACATTCGTCTTGCGAGGCACCACTGTACTTGAGAAAGGATACTGCCAGTGAGGCATCTTTCTATTCCTGTGCTTCAGCTTAGCTCCCCTCTCTCCCACTATGATTGTCATTATATCTATGCTATGATTTGAAGCATCATTCATCTGCTTTCTCAAGATCACTTCCAAGCATTGTAACTCCATCCTGTGCATCATGATACAGCAAGTTACCGTGCTAGTACTTCCATAACCATGGTGCTGTGGTGTAAGAGAATTACTGGCTAGTTGGTAGTAGTGTTACAATTATATATAAACCTTCAGAGGAAGCCAAAGAAGCCAGGATAGCTCTTTGAATCCGGCACTCTAAACTTTTCTGTAAAAGGTCCTGGTGAGGGGCTGAGTTACTAAATGTCTTCTATCTTTTCTTACAATCTTATCAAGACACTAAAAGCAGCAGTGTTACAACACAACAGAAATGGGAACAGGGATACTTACACAGTTATCAGCAATAAATGTATAAAATCTCAACATGATGATTCACACTGTTGCTATCAGTCTTTCTTGAGAGGGTTCTTAATAATGTAATATCATAGTATGATGGTAATCCTTGTTCTTTGTCAAATGCCTCAGGCTATGCTCTTCTGCCCTGGCACTAGCCTCATCATAGTTTAATGCTGTAGGAGAAGAAACAGACAGTGCTTAGAGTGTAGCCGCAAGTGAAGCAAACTTTCCAAACAGCAGGGTACTTTTATTATTATTCTGAAGTTGCTTTCCTCATTCCCCCCCCCCCGCTTTCTTTCCATTCTCTACTTGCCTTTTATCTCTTGTACATAAGGTAACTGGATGAAAAAGAGGACAGTTACACAGGAAAGAATTTCAGCAGGTATACCTTTTAATGCAAGTTATACCTGCTGAAATTTCCTCCACATAACCATTTGAGAGCACAGGAATCCTCTATTTCAGCTGGCTACCCTACTTATACATATGGTTTTGTTTGTGTAAGTCTGCATGTGTAGGTGATAGTAACCATGCAAGGTTATTGTTGAGTGTGGAGAAGTAGTTTAGAGATGATTATAAGTTTCTGATACTTGTTTAATGTTTTGCTGCTGCATTAAAAACACTAATCAGAGACTTTGAATTGAAAAACTAGAAAGGCTTTCTTTATGGTGTATTTGTTACAAAACAACTTAGTCTGAATTGTGATCTTCATCAAAGGGGTTAGGGAGAGTCACTTTAGTGATAGCTAGTCATAAAAAGGGAACGTGGATAAATTTAGCTTTCTAAAAGGGAACATGGGTACACTTAGACATGGGTAACCTTAGATAGTTTCAGATAGTAGAACACCTTCAAACAGATGCATTAGGTGAACTTGCGTATATTATGTTAGAAATCAACTGAATATGTTAGAAATCAACTGGAATCTAAGCTTCAGTCAAATATGTGCTTTCCATCTGAGAAACAAGCAGGCATGTTGAAAGATGATGCTTTGTGTTGTACACTGACCTGTAAGTAACACAACCTAAATACGAAACAAAGATCTCTTCAAAGAACAGTATCATATGAAAGCTATCAAAAAACCAGATGGGGCTCATAAATCACAAACATGAAGAACCAGAGCTTTGGCCCTACATGACTTTGTAGATGAATTTCATCCCTGTGTGGCATAATTCAGCCCGTGCAAAACAGGTAGATGTAGCACGCTGAAATCATATTCCTGTTCCTAATGTTAGGTATAGTATTTCTCAAAAGAGGGAGTGATTTGTTGAGTTATCTCTAATGAATCATTTTTATGTTTGTATTGACAGGAATTGTCTTGGCTGTGGAGGTGAAACCATGAAGAAATAGCAGAGAAACTAATAATGTTTTTCCGAAATCGTTTTCTGTTCTTGTTGGCCTTGGCAGCCTTATTAGCCTTTCTGAGCCTTAGCCTACAATTCTGTAAGTATAATCCATCTGTTTACTTTATGAGTACTGTATAAAATCGCCCTCTTTATATTTGGTTCCTTAAGATTAATAATATTAATAATAATTGTGCCATCAAGTCAATTCTGAGTTACAACAACCCTTTTCAGGGTTTTCTAGGTAGAGAGTACTCAAAAGCAGTTTTCTGTTCCCTTTTACTGGGAGCATTCTCGAATTGTGCAGCTTGCCCAAGACCACTTAGACTGTCTCTTCTAGGATACACAGTGGAGAATTAAACTCCTAATCTGGCTCAGCAGCCAGAGACCTTAAACCATTGAACTATCTAGCAAGCTTTCTTAGCTACATGTTTTCTTCATAGACACGTAGAGGAAGCTTCTCAAAAGGAAGTGAGGGGACATGAGTTTCCAGTTTCAGCATTTACATTGTCTTTGTATTTGTAGCAGGTTCTAATGAAACTAGTGTTGATAGTGAGAATGGAAGACAAAGGTGATCTGTTTCTGTTTTTGATAGTGTGGAACTTATTTTAAAAAAAGAAAAGAAAAAGAAAGGTTTCAACTTCCATTTACTCCATCCCTCGGTTTTCTGTAGCAGCCTTTCACAGCCTGGTACTCTTTTCTTATGCTTGTCTAAATGAACTCAGCTATAACTCTCAGAATCCACACCCGGCTCAAATACTGGCCATGCAGGGGATGATATTAATTGCATAGTATACCATTGGATTCCCTTCATAGATTGCTGCCTTGTTGTGGCAAAGGCACTTGAGTAATTCAGAGAAGTTATGGGCTATGCCGTGCAGGGACACCCAAGATGGACAGGTCATAGTGGAGAATTTTGACTAAATGCGATCTACCTGGAGCAGGAACTGGCGAGCCACTCCAGTATCTATGCCAAAAAACCCTCCATGAACAGAAAAAAAAAAAGACTTAAAAAAAATGACGCTCGAAGATGAGCCCCTCAGGTCAGAAGGCATCCAACATGCTACTGTGGAAGAGAGGAGGACAAGTACAAGTAGCTCCAGAGCTAATGAAGTGGTTGGGTCAAAGCTGAAAGGATGCTCAGTTGCAGACACGCCTGGAAGTGAAACGAAAATCTGATGCTTCAAAGAAAAATACTGCATAGGAACCTGGAATGTAAGATCCATGAACCTTGGGGAACTGGATGTGTCAAACAGGAGATGGCAAGAATCAACATTGACATCCTGGGTGTCAGTGAACTAAAATGGATGGGAATAGGTGAATTCAATTCAGGCAATTAACATATCTACTATTGTGGGCAAGAATCCCATGGAAGAAATGGAGTATCTCTCATAGTCGACAAAAGAGTGGGAAAAGAAGTACTGGGATACAATCTCAAAAATGAGAGAATGATTTCAGTACGAATCCAGGGCAGATCTTTCAACATCAGAGTAATCCAAATATATGCATCAACCATTCAACATCACAGTAATCCAAATTTAAGCACCAACACTGATGCAGAAGAGCTGAAATTGACCAATTCTATGAAGACTTACAACACCTTCTAGAACTGACACCAAAAAAAGATGTTCTTCTCACTAATAGAAACAGAAGACATGAAGAAGAGGTGGCAACAATACACAGAGGAATAATACCAGAAAGATTTGGATGTCCCGGACAACCCAGATAGTGTGGCTGCTGACCTTGAG